TCTATATATCTATATATTTGTATATCTATATCTATATATATCAGTTTGAAGGCTCTGGGTTTAATTCCCAGTATGAGAGAAAAGAAAAGGGGAGAAAAAAGAAAAAAAGGAGGAAGAAAGAAAGTATGAAGGAAAAGAAAGAAAGAAAAGAGAAATTTTGCAATGAAGGGTTCTTCTTGGTCCTCTGGAGATTGACAGTAGAGAAGAAAGACCGGCAGTCTGTCTGCCTCAGCAGAGTTTTGGGAAGTCTGTGACATGGCCCTGACTACAATCCTTTTCCTCACCCAGCATCTGGAAACTGTACCTCAACCTCATGCAAGTAATGTGCTTTCCTCCTATCTTTTCTGGAGCCATAATGGATTACCATGTTTCTAGGGTCCTTCTACTGGCCCTGAGTGGCCCTCTCCAACTATCTGACAGGGAAACTCAGTCATCTTCACCGACACTCTGAGTAGTGAGTGTAATACCCATCCCACTGAATGGTGGCCACAGCAGTCAGGGATGGCTCCTTGGTATGTAATGAGGTTGAAGAATGAGGGAAGCCATAGTGATGGGGGATGGGATCCCTGATCACTTGTCAAACTTCATCTCTGGGGCTGACCATTACTTAGCCATCTCCAACAGGAAGCTGGAAGACAAATCTGACTACATGTGTGGGGCATCGTAGCACTGGGTAGTCATTCGAGTAAAGCCAAATGACTCAGCTGGATGGAGGGGGAGAAGAAACATGTTTTCTTTGCTTATATAACAAAGTTGCCGCATGATTCTGGAAAGTTTGTGTTGTACTAAGCACTCAAAAATGTTGGGTTTTTTCCTTTTTGCTTTTTATTGCTCCCTTTAAATTTTTTTTTTTTTTTTTTTTTTTTTACTGGAAGCCCAAACATGCTATGATTACTGCCAAGGAAAAGGTTGTCAAGCAGGCTTCCATGGAATGAATGCACAGATCTGTAATAACGATGTAAATATAACCACAAATCTGTTGTCCCCTGATGGTCACCCTTGTCACAACCTGGGTTGCAAGATCATTCTTCCAAGATTTAAACACTGGGCTCAAAACACATATCACTGCCAGTGCCTCGGGGTTCATTTCAATGGCTACCTTTAGAAGAAATCTAAATATATTCCTTAAGAAGTTGAGAATTATGTCAACACACTAGAAGGCATGCCCTAGATAAATAGCTGGAAACAAACCCTTTAAACCTTTTGTTAGTGGAAATTTACTCAAAGGTACAGGGCCTTGGTTTGGGGAAGACGGAAAAAGGAGGAAATATTATTTTTACCACTGTGAAGTTGATGTATAATATAATTTGCAATGTAAGGAAGGAAAGGAAACAGTCAATAAATAAGGTTACTCTGACAACTGAGTTTGAAAGTAGGATGTTATTTTGTTTTTTAAAAACAGATAGTACCATGACATGATACTTTACATGGAAGATCCCAAAAACTCCACAAGAAGACTCCTTGAATTAATCAACAAATTCAGCAGTGTAGCTGGATACAAAGTCAACACCCAGAAATCGATAGCATTCCTATACACAAACAACAAACAGACTGAGAGAGAAATTAAGGAAACCATACCTTTCACAATAACATCCAAGAAATTGAAATATTTAGGAATCCATCTAACAAAAGAAGTCAAAGATCTCTTTAATGAAAACTACAGTACTCTGAAAAAAGAGATCAAAGAAGATTTCAATAAATGGAAAAACATTCCTTGCTCATGGATAGGAAGAACCAACATTGTGAAAATGGCCATACTCCCAAAGCTACTGTACAGATTCAATGCAATTCCCATTCAACTACCATCCACATACCTCACAGATCTTGAGAAAATATGCCTTAAATTCATCTGGAACCAGAAGAGACCCAGAATA